ACATATAAATGACAAAAGAAATAAGAATAAAGCTATGTAGGTGCCATGATGATAGCAGGAAGATCTGACCTGGTAAAGGAGTTGAGGGTGCTTCCATGTGGTGCCACACAGCTGAGAACAAGCTTCCTTGTCTTGTCTTTGACACAGCCCTATCCACCAAATAGGTCTGGCAGATACTGCTGGTTTCTTCTTCAACACCCACTTATCCCTTTGTTTTTATGCAGAGTCCAACTAGGCATCAGGTGTCCAGCCACAGGGGATGAGGAAGTAGCAGGATAAGCTAACCAAGGTCATTGTATTCATTTTTTCCCAAAGATTACATTAGGAATGCCCATCCCACTCAGTTCTAGTCATTAAGGCATAGCAGAAAATTTCCTCTCTGTTCAAAAGAAGAGAGGGGAGAGGAGCCCCACCTCACCACCCCTCACCCCAACTCTGGGTCTTTGGAGTTATCACGACTTACTAAATCATACCTAAAACTGATTTCCTCAGAGCTTCTTAGGAGACTGCTACATGCCCAGTGTTTAATCCATCTTTAGCCAGGCATGCTATGGCTTGCAGCTCAAAGTATCCTCCCTGGGGCCAGGCCACAAAAAGATGCAGAAGAGGCTTAGAGTTTGCACTTACTCAATCCTGGAAGAAAGTGGACTCTCAAGAACATGACCCATTTGCTTTGGGCATATAGCAAAACTTGGCATAGGTGGCTCAGTATCCTTGTGTGAAAAAGGAAACTATAGAGTCCAATCTTCCATGTAGCCAAGTATGCAAATGATTATTATACATCATGAGTGATAGTACATTCAAATGTGAGACTATGTTACATTTGGCTGCAGGCTACTGAAAGTCATATGAATGGAGGCACTCTAGAAAAATAAATCTGTCATAATTAAGGGTATCTCAAGGCAGATAAGAGTATTTGGGAAGGCAGCATTTCCTTTCTATCTTTCACCAAGAAGACAGAAAGTAGACCTGGTGTGCACATTGACAAACACTGTTTTCCTTCTGCAATTCTTGAGTATGAGTGTTCGCTTGGAAGAAGGGGGTCTTCTGGGAAGAGCTGCTACAGCTTTCATGGTGATGCTGTTGTCTCCTATTGCAGTAGTTTGAGTAAGTAAGGCAGAGTCAATGAGCTTGTGTGAGATTCATACATGTTGGGTTTGTGTCTATGGGAAGGTCCTAGATTTGGGGATGATAGACTTAGGGACCTGAGCATGTACTAAGTAAACTTTATTGACTGAGAGAGGGGTTCCAAACTGCAGACAGGATAGGTAGGCATTTCTATGGTTGGTCCTGATGGCCACTGCCATGTTAATTATGGCTTATCTCTTTCCGAGCCTCCATTTTTCTTAAATAAAGTGCAGAGCTCCATATCTACTCTTTCCCCTTGCTGAGTGACAGTGAGCATGCGACTGTGATGAATGGCTTTGGTGAAAATACTCCACTTGTCTACAAAGTAGACTATGTAAGGATAAACCATTGCTTTCATTAGTGGGCAATGACCGCTCCTCCACTGCTATGACTAAGGAATAATTGCCCTGGAACCCCCTGTGTTTCATGGACTCTTCATTGCAGCATAAATCCCAGCGGAGATGGTTCTTTTTCCTTGCATTGATTTTTTTATTTGAATAATCCCAGCTCTAAATGGACTCTTGAATATGGCCCCAGGATCTGGTGCCACCAGAGTGCTGGCTTCTCTTTGTCTGGGACCTCAATGGCTCCTAAGTGAGAGGACTGATGAGGGTCCCACTTGCCTCAGTATTCAGAAGACAGTTTCTTGTTTCACCATGAGTGCACAGAATCCAAAGACCAGATGGGGGAAAACAGGTCTCAAGGCAGCCATAGTCACTTCTTTGCTTCCTGGAGCTTTGTGGTAGAGTAGCTGCCCATTGCTTCATGGCTGGGCACAAGTGACACAATGGTTGAAGTATTCTGATCATCCTTTCACTTTCCTTTTAGAATCCTATTCTGTCATCTCTTTCACACCACAGAGCCTTCTTAGCTGTGCTGTTTCACTTTCCCAGAACTCCTCATTGGGATGACCAGTTTGTTCCAGTATAAACTTCTGTGATGATGGAAGTATTCTGGATGTTCCCTGTCCAATAAAGTGACCACTAAGAACATGCAGCTCAGCTATTGAACATTTGAAATGGAGTCAATACAACTGAGGACCTTAATCTTTAATATTTAATTTCAATGGACTTACATTGAAACTGGCATGATGTTTGATGGTCAGTGTACTCAGTTTATCTACTACAACCAAAATTAGTCTCCCCTAAGTTCCAGTTCATAACCTTCTCAGAGAGGCACAAGAAAGTCTACCTCATAAACCAAGAACCAGGCATAAATTAAGATCTGAACCCTCATAGACAACTGTGTAGCTCTTTCTCTCTTCTCCTGTGTTGGAGTTGAACCCAGTGCCTCACACATACTAAGCAAGAGCTCTATTAGTGAGCTACATGTCTACATGCCAAGACCAGCACACAGGTTTGAACAACACCGTGCTTTGGTCAAAGTAGAAGCTAAGTGGCAGGAATTGGGGAAGGTGTCAGAGAAATGTGATATGTAAAAAGATAATGGGTAAAGACCTTTAGTTACATATCAAAACATGCCTGATGGATGACATATCCTCGCCAGTGCTCTAAGCACCTTTGCCTCTCATAAATATGGCAAGATTTAAGGTCACAAGCATATGGGCAGGATCTGGGAAAGAATTAGAATGGCAGATCTTGGAGGATGCCAGAGTTCTTGCAAAAGGAGGTCAGGTGCCAGGTAGGTTGATGTTTTGTTCTGCCTTGCTGTGGAATGATCACAACCATTGGGACATAACTGAAAATTTGGGGATCAGAAAGCAGCTTACAGAGCTCATGGTGGACTATTGTATTTTTGTTGGGATGTTGGACAAGAGCTGAAGCTCTGCTCTTAATTTGAATGCCAATCTTTCAGGGAAGTGTTCTTTCGCTTGCATTCTTTTATGAACATTGGTTTTTGGGTGTTCTTTTCATATTGAAACTGGGCTGTATTGCTGTGTGTCTTGGCTTGGCTTAAAACTGCTTTCAAGTTCCTGCCTGTGTTTTCATTGATACACACTGGCATTGGAAGAATCTTTGCATGTAAATTCCAGGTTGGGTAAAGGGTGGAGGACTTGGGGCTGGGATTGATGCTGTGGAAGGTCAACCAGCAGGATAAAAGGGCCCCTCTAGGGGGGCACTTGGAGGTGAGCAAGCAGAGAGCATACCAATGCTTATGTTTGGGGATTTGCTCTTGGGGCCTCAGTCTCCTGTTCCAACCACAGATACATCTGCTGCCAACACTTCACCTGCCCTGTACTGCTTCAAGTGGAAAAGATAAATTTTAATTAAGCCACTGTTCAGAATCTATGCTTTCCTGCTTAAAAAGTTTATATAGTCAGTCAGAGACATTTTTTAAAACAGATATGTGGTAATAAGTAAGTACACATAAAAGTAAAAGGAGCAAGTAATTAGCAGGAAATCTCTCTGTTGTTTGCGACACAGTTCAGACTCCAATTTTCTGTACTTCCTTGCCCCTTTGGGGAAAGATTATTACAGTATTTAGCATAACCTTATTATCTCTCAATTTGCCTATCTTTCAAATAGCACAGACCATGTGAAATCAAGGGACAGAAGCTCTGAAGGGAGGAAGTTCATAGAACTCTAGCTGGATTGATCCATCTGTCCTGATGTTCATGTGCTACCCAGGGAAGGACATTCAAGTTACAGGGACCTCTTGTATCCAAAATGTCTGGATGACTTAGGGCATCCTTTCTGTAGAATTTCCTAATGTTCACTCTGCACACTATGAATTTCAGTCCATTTAAATGAAAAGACAAATGGTCCTGCCAGGGCTGAGGTAACTTAGAGAAGTGATTTTTGGTAGAAGGATTTTATTTCACTTAGGAGCCATCTGGCAATGTCTGAACACATTACTGTCACTACCCACGGTGGGCGGTTTTGTCCTTTCCACGACCTTAAGCAATGTTTTGACACTGTTGGTTGTTGAAGTTGCTGTTGGGGTGGTGCTCTACTCTGATGTTGCCCGGTGTGTGCTACCATACAGAGAGCAGTCTGTGTGAAAAAACAATTATTTTAGTCAGATGGTCTTGACAATGTTTGAGAAACCTTGTTCCAAGGGGCAGGCAAGACTTCACTGAAGTGAGGGATGGCTCTCAAGGGGGTGTCACCACTTCACTCTTGGAAGTCTAGTAAATACTGCAAGGTGGCTCAAAGAAATCTCAGAACATTTTCACTTAGAACCCTTTTAAGCCATTAACTTAGTCAATTTCCTATCTTAATGAGGTTTTCACTTTCCCTGGAAGGTCAGGAAAGCGAAGCCTCTGAGTTACACAAGCAACCCTCTATTTTCTTAAGTAGTCTAGATCTTTGACGACAGCGTGTGCAGAGGCAATCTGTGCAGATGGTTTCTCCATGGCCTGTTTGCTGAAGATCCTGACTCTCAGGGCTTCCTTTCTGTTAGTAGATGGAGAAGGTTCAGAACTTGCCTTGTATGAGTATTGTCAATATTGGCTGGGATGGAGCAGGTCCAAGTAGTGACAGTGTTAAGGAGGCTGAGCCAAGAATCAGAAAGTGGTGACAGAGTTTGTACTGAACTGGTTGGAAAAATAAAAGAAGATGCAATATTTCTCTTTCTGATTATAAAAGTAACACAGACATTGTCAAAAGAAATCCCCCAAGTACAGAAAACTATGAAGAGGAAATAAATATCTCCTAATTATGCTACCAGGGGTCATCGACCATGAAAAGCTTTTGAGAAAAAACAAGAAAAAGAAACAAATGTCAGGTTTTCTGAGACAATAAACTATGGAGATTGAAGATGTTTTTTGAGGACCACAAAGTGGCATGCGTGAACATCGATGGTTTGAGATGATGTTCTTTGAGAATCAAGATAGCTGAGTCCCTGTCCTTCCTCAGTTGAGGTGGATAATGGAAGACAATTAGCTGGCCACTAGATGAAGCCCTCCTTACCTTCAGGGCTCATGTGCAAAGCATCTGTGGTGCTCACCTTCACAGACAGGAGAAGTGTCCTTTAGCTGAAAGAGAAGATGACTCATTTTAGTTCAAACCTGACAAAGCAGGATATTTGTCATTTCTAGCTTCCTGTGTCACAAAGCACAGCACAATAGCCTCACTTATAATAGCTTTCATTTTCGGGACTTAGTTTTTTGGCAACTTCATTATTAAGTAATATCGAGCTTAGATAAAGGTTGCAAAAGTAAATTCCATTGATTGCACCCAGATACCCAGGTTATTAACATATTATTCATCATCCTATGTCTTAAGTCATAGACATGATACTTCCTTTGTATCTAATCATTTGATTTTATGTTCCTAAGAATAGTACATTCTTTTTTCTTATAAACAGTGTGAAAATAACAGTCAGAAAATAACCATTGATTCAGTATTGCTATCTAATATACAGCTATCCCAACTGGGATTATAAGTAGTTTGATACTGGAGGTCCTACATGGAAGTTACTGATAAATCCTGACACGGCATTGGTTGAGTTAGATTCATCCACTATTAATTACTCAAAGCTTAGGTTAAATTCTTCCTCAGCAAGTAAAAATGCTTTGGAAGGAGAAGGCTTTTTAGAGTGAGAAATGGATTGTTTGCTGAAATACAGGATGAAGCCTTTTGCCTCTTATGATGAACCCTCCAGGAATCACAGCCACAACCTTATCCCAGCTAGTATTTCTGACTCTAGACTTGTGTATGAAATTACAGACTCTTGTTTCTTATTAGCCTGTTTTATTTTTTGTTTGTTTTTGGAGACAGGGTTTCTCAGTAGCTTTGGACTGCCCTGAAGCTCACTCTGTAGACCAGGCTGGCTTCAAACTTACAGAGATCTGCCTTCCTCTGCCTACTGAGTGCTGGAATTAAAGGAATGTGCCAACACCACCCAACAATTGGCTGGGGTTTAAGGGACATGAAATAGATAACTGCTGGAGATGCAGATCTCAGATAGGAAGAAAGTCTTTCAACATTTCAACACAAAACAGGTCTATATATGCCAGGAACTACTCTTTAAATCTCACTTTTAGGGCTGGGAAGATTGCTCAGTGGATGAAGTCCCTGAAATGTGACTGAGACTGGATCTCTGATCTCCAGCACCCCTGTAAATGCTAAGGAGGCATTGTGGCCTGACTATGTTCCCAGAAAACATGGGAGGTGGAGACAGATTCTTGTAGTAAGTTGCTTGTCTAGATCAGCCAAATCCAGCAGGGTTAGGTAGACTCACTTGAATTCTGGGTTCAAGTGAATGACATAGCCTTAGTATATTAGATGCAGATAGTGATAGGAAGGCATGAGACATCAACCTCTGACCTCTACATCCATGTGAACCCTCATATATACAAGTACCACATATACACAAACACATAAACACATACATATATGAATCACATACACAAACCAAACCAAACCAAAACACTCTTCCCCCTAAGCTGACTTTTGTTTATGAACATAAATTAATAATTATTGTCCAATTTGGTCTCACAATTCCAGGCCAAGGCCAACTGGCCAGTGGAACCAGCCAAGAATGCTTTCAAATAATTTCTAAGCATTCAAATGCCAGAATTCTAGGAATCATTCCTTAAGGAAGCTAGTACTCAATGTTCTTCATGTTTCCTCAACTAACTGAGGAGGAAATGACCAGCAGGAGACCCATGGTGGCCACCAGTACCTTCATAACTCTGAAACCCTTACACAGTCACTAATTTGTCAACATTGCTGCTCTGATTAGCCAGTTGATTTGTGTCTGCAATCAAAGCTTGTGATATGATGAAAGCTATTGGAGCAAAAGACATTCATCCAAAAGACATTTGGTAACGAGGTGTCTGGTGAAGCCACAGCTTGTGACACAGATATCTGGGGCAGGCTTCCTAGAAGTAAGTCACCAAAGTTTCTCCATAAGGTACAGTGACACACATTTTCATTTCAAAACTATTAAATATTCTGTCTTTGATAATGTCCTAACTGTTCAGAACAGCCCTTGCTCCTCTCTGTTCCCATCCAAGTGAAATCTACACTTTGTTTATACTCTTGTTGGAAATCCCAAGGGGTTAGCTGAGGTTGGAGAAGGGCACAGAGGCAGCAGGACACAGGTCAGAGGCTACATCGAGGTGAACAGTCTGAAATACTATACAATAGTAATGAGGGTTTTGGAGATCAAGGGCATCAAGGGAATTGTAGTTTTAGAAGCCTCCACAAAGTATTTATTGAATGGTGGGTCTTGGGCTCTCATCATTTGCTCCTCTATTATTCCTATTATTCGTTAGCACGTATCAAATGTCTTGCATGACACTTAACCCTGGCCAATCTCTGTCTTTGCTCCCATATTTATTCTTTTCCTGTTCTGGGATTGATGGTTCTGCCCTACTGGGCGCCCTTGCCTTCATCTTCAGGGAGAGTTCGACTGCATCAGGCAGAGGAATGGGCATGATAGGGTATTCTTTCCTTCCATGTCTGTTTTTTCTGTGACTTAGTTGCAGTGGTGGTACATCTTTGTAGCCATGTTATTCAGTTGGGCAGCCTTTATTTTATAACTCTGCCTGTCAGTGAGTTCCAGAAAATCACCCTTGCTCACTTCTTTTTGTGCAGAAAACTGGTGACAGTTTTCCTAATTCTCTCAGCCCTGCCCACAAACATACTGCATAGTCACACTGATTTCACCTAAAATCCTGGCTTACCTATTACTGTACAACCCTGATAGACATAGAATTCAGAAAGTCTCCTTCCATTTCTATTTTATGAAATAATTTGAGGAATATTGGTGTTGGTTCTTCATTGAAGGCCTGGTAGAATTCTGCACTGAATCCATCTGGCCTCGGGCTTTTTTCAATTGGGATATTTTTAAATTACTGTTTTTATTCCACTAGGGGATATATATATACATATATATATATATATATACACACACACACACACACACATATATCCATGTATATATGTATACACACACATATCCATGTCTTTTAGGTTCTCTAGATTTCAAATTATACTACAGAACTACAGTAGTAAAAACAGCACAGCATTGTTATAAAAACAGAGACACTGATCAATGGAATAGAATATAAGTTGCATACATAACTCCACCCATCCACAGAAACCTTATTTTTTTTTAAAGAATCCAAAACTACATACTGGAGAAAAAACATTATCTCAACAATGGTGCTGGTTAAACCAGATGGATAACTGCGTGTAGAAGAATGAAAATAGATTCATGTCTATTGCCCTACACAAAACTCAACTCCAAATGGATCAGAGAACTCAACATAAGACCAAATACACTGAGTGTGATAGAAGAGAAAGTAGGGAATAGACTTGAATTCATTGACACAGGAAAGAACTTTTTAAACAGGATCTGAATAGCACAAGCATTAAGACCAATAGTTAATAAATGGGACTTCATGAAGTTCAAACGTTTCTGTACTGTAGAGAGCATCATTTGAGTAGAGCAGCTAGAGAATGGAGAAAAAGTTTTACCGATTATCCATCTGACAAAGGAATAGTGCCTAGACTATACAAAGAACTAAAAAAATGTCCCTCAAAATCAATAAAACAACTCAATTAAAACACAGGACACAGAAATAAACAGTTTTCAAAAGATGAAATACAAATGACTGAGAAACTACTATGAAATTTCATCTTACCACAGTCAAGATGGTCAAGATTAAAACAACAACAACAACAAATGGCAGCAGATGCTGGCAAGGATGTGGAGAAAGCACAACATTTATTCGTTACTGGTAGGAATGAAAACTTGCAGCCACTATGGAAATCAGTATGGAGCTTCATCAAAAAGCTACCTCAAGTTCCAGCTACACCACTCTTGGACATATACACAGAGGACTCTACATTTTACTGCAGAGATACGTGCTCATTCATGTTCATTACTGCTTATTCATAAGAACCAGGAATTGCAAACAGCCTACATGTCCATCTCCTGATGAATGGATAATACAAATGTGGTACATTTATACAATGAAATATTATTCAGTCATTAAGAAAAATGAAATTTGCAGGTAAATGGATGGACTGGAAACAATTATTCCAAGTGAGGTAACCGAGACTCAGAAAGATGGATATTGTTTTTTCTCTTATATGTGGATGTTAGCTTTTAAGCTTTAGATATATCTATTTCAATCAGAATAATCACCAAGGTTAAATAGGAAGGGATTAGGGTACAAGAGGAGCTGATCTTCCATTGACCAAGGATGGTGAAATAAATGCATTATTTTAAAGCGATAAAGAGGAAACTAGAATAGGCGGATTAAATGGGGGAGGGATTTAGGTGGGCAGGGTAGAGGAAAGAATATGGGAAGGGACAACTCACATTAAAGGTCTCTTGAAAAGCCACAAAACCTACTCCTGTTGAAGTTTCCTATAATATATACATATATAAATGGAATTTAAGTGGAGTTACAATATAATGGGGGAGACAATGTCCCAAGTGGATATCATATGCTACTAAGTAAAACCCATAATCAGGAATCACCTATATCTTTTTTGAGTCATTGGGAAAAGCAGACCCACTGACCACCCCCAAACATTACAAGTTATTGTCAATGATATTGGTTATCTTCCAAAACCTGACTATAATACACCATTACTAAAGACAACACATTCATGGAGGAATCAAGCTGGTGCTCAAATAGAACTTTCACCTCTCTTGACTGACATTCACAGTGCTGGGAGGTATTATCCATGCTACTGGAGGAGGAAAGTGATCATCTCACCCAGTGCTTGAGAGCTGTTATAGCAATCTGTCTGCAAGGTACACCCACTGGTACAATAGTGGCATGGATGTTCTTGGAGTAACCAACCACCTTTTGATAAGATTTAAAGCCTGCTCTATGAGATGGAATCCATGTCTGGCACTGTTCAAGAGGTTAAGAACTGGAGACTAGGTAGTCATGGGCCTAGGTGGAAGCCTAAATGAAAATAGCAATAAAATATCTCCTAATGACATGTCGTTATATCCGTAGATCACTGCATCATGGAACCCTTGTTAAAAAACTTTTCCAGTAGA